TTATTATTATATCAAGATTTTTGTAATAGCCAATTTGTATTTCGTTTGTCGCACATGCCGGAAGACCAGAGGACGGGTCGAAATATTTATGTGTAGAAAGTCATTGTCATCTCATCCTCTTTTTTGTTGAGTAATTGAAAATGCGCTATACAGTATAAGTTGTTATTATTATCAAAACCATGCACAGGTAGTGTTACCCAGACGTAAAAAAATTGTTTTAAAAATGCACTTGACAATTGTGGTAATTAATAACAGGAAGATATGTGACAAAGGATTTATCAGGCAAGGCTAAAAATGATGACTGTAATGCTAAAAGCAGGTAACTTTGAGAAAAAGGTGTTATTTTTAGAGGGAGAGCGCGTTTCTGATTGGGTGTTGATTTGACAGTTAATTTTGCAGTGATTTTATTGCAACCCATGGCCAAGTAGGCGGAATCTAAGGTACTGGTGTTAAAGGAATGCGTGACTCTGAGTCATAGGTCAGACCACAATGATTCAGGGGAACTGGACAGTCACTAAGTTGGTGATGTTCTCTATTGCTAGGGAAGCACCCGTTCTGCAACCTGGCGTATAGCTAGGGAGACACCTATTATCATTCTGCACTGTTGCCACAGTGAATATCACTTGTTTGAACTTGAAGTAACTTCGCTGTTAAGTCTCCATAGGATAATGTTAAGATCCTGTGCTTGTATCTAGTGCCCTATCACATCATTAATCCCTAGTGTATAGCAAAAAGTCTTCATCAGCAAATTACAACTAATAAAATGGTTATTGCAGTTGTCACACAAATATACAGTACAGTTTTCAATTATCAAGCTTGCTCTTGTCATGTTTCCAATATTCTCACGTCATTACTTGAACGGCTTGTTCGCTTATTTATTTTTAAAATTTTATTTTGATTTTTTGATCTGTCTTTGGGTCTGTATGCTCTTGGATGCAATGTCTAGCTTTTGCGATCTTCATCATGACAGGTTGGAGCTATGCAGTATGGGTAAAGCCTTTGTCCAGTCCGTCAAATTTTATTTGACAAAACATATGATATGCATAATTATGGGCATGATGACATTACATTATTACCATATATAGGCACATCGTGACTACATTATGGCAGGCCCATAAGCAAGGGGGAGGGGGTGCGATGGTGCATATGCACCCCCCAAATTACCAAAGGTCCACATTTTCCAGGGTAGAAAATTTAAAAATCACTCCCCTCCCACTAATTTGTCAACATTATTTAAAAAAAGAAAAGAAATTTATTTTCAAATTTAAGTCTGAGAGTGCCGTCTCCGGCCATCTAAAGGTGCCATAATCATAAATTTTCTTAAATACCTTAGCCCCAACCATGGTGGGCTGAGGTATTATGGACTCCCAATCTGTAAAAGTCCTTCCCTTGCTCACTCTATATCAAATTCTTATATCCACCACTGACAGTGGGGGATTCAAGAAGCCCAGTCGTCCCGACCCCCTCAATTTTTCAAATAAAAAAAAAAAATTGGAAAAATAGAAAATGATATTCAAATTGTATGAGGGTGCAATTTCCGGCCATTTGAAGGTGCCATAATCATACATTTTCTTCCCTCAGCCCCAACCATTTCTGTGGAAGTTCATCCCTGGCCCCTCTTTATACTCCTAGATCTGCTACTGAAAACCGTATATGCATCTTCAGAAATTGATTAAATAAGACGTCAAATCAAAAATGCCAGAGCTCTGCCATCTCGATCCCAGCAGGGTTTTTTCCCAAGGCACCCCTCCCCTCGAGAGCCATTTTGGTCCACTTTCTACAAATTCGCTCCCACCCAATAAAAATCCTGCATATGGGCATACAACAGTTTTTTGTCAAATAAGTCTGGACAGGTCTTCATACCAGGGAACAGTGAAATTAATAATAATAGTAATTTCATTGTTCCCTGTTCATACTATGTAGGTCAGCGTCGTCGTGACTAGTCTCAGATTTGCAGGGTTGATAATACTATGTAAGACATGAATACTATGTATTACCGGTTGCTCATATTGTCTAATATACAGGCTCAGCGTAACTTAATCCTAGGAGGTACTACACGAGGAAAAGCATACTTTTGGGATAAGCTTACTGGAGAGCTGCAAGCAGCTGTACAACTACATGAAACAATCATACACAAGATAGCATTCCTGCCTTATCGGAGTGGAGACGCCAGATTCCTTACAACGTCGGGGTAAATATACAATGTTCGTTATACTTTAGCTTCAATTCAAGATTCACGAAATTTTAATGTCCCATATAAAAATACAAAAAATTGTATTGCTTGGGAGATGGATATAAAAAATATAAATATAAATACAGTACAATGCCAATATTTGTAAAAAATAAGACAAGATTGGTACATAATAAAAACATATAAATGACAAAGAAAATAATGAGAAAAAACGGAAAAATTGTTGCAAAGAAGCAAAAAACCCGAAGGTGTTAAAAAAGTTAATGAAAAAGTTAAAACCTTAATAAAATGTTATAAAGCTATTTAAAAACAATACAAAAGTTAAAACTATTAAACACACATAGATAAATTAATAAATTATTGTAATTAAAATTAAGACACACATTAATTAAATTTGAACACACATTGATCACAAAATTCCATCTTGTTTCATGAAATGAAATAATAAACATTCAATCAAATATTTTTGTTCAAACAACTCTAACAATATCACTCCAGAAAAATATAAAGTGAAATGTTAAAATTATACTATTTTCATGAATTAGTGTTCTCAAACCTAATAATGTGTTCAGTGTATGTCTTTTTGTTTTGTATTTATGTATTCATATTATATGTTCATATCTTAATAATACCAAAATTGATTATAAACCAAATGAGTGAGCAGTATCTACAATTATATACCTCATACATAGATTCTAGGCATCTGCTTGGTTAAGAAGCGGGGCAATAGAAAGTATTATTCCCATCAATAAGTACTATTCCCCTAAAATATAGTACTTTTTTGACCTGTCGCGATGTGCAAACTCATCACGCTACTGACGGTAAAGGGGACTGCGACCTCTACGGTGAGATTATCCCCTGACCGCGTCACAGGTCAGCGAGTAGACGATAAACAAATATGGAGGCTGCTCGTTTCAAGATGAAGGAGGATTAGCCTAGGCCTAGCATTTCTTCTTGATGAAGCCGATAGCAAAAGCACCAAAAGACTAATTAAATATGTCTTATCAATATTCAACAAATATATTGCGATGGGTGCTGTCGAAATTGAGAAAATAAGCAAAGAAGAGCTAGACACACTCTTTGATCACCTAGGTCTAGCTAGTCGAGTAGTAGTAGTAGGCCTAGTATGCCTCTAATAATAGGCTAGGAAGTAATACTTTATAGGCCTCATAGAATCTATGTATGAGGTATATAAAGGAAGATATGCTACGGTCTCCACATCACCTCAGGGGAATAGATTTCACCATTCCCCGAATTTAGAGCAGTCAATATTTGTATATAAAAATATCTAATCAGTATCGGAGAAGGAATATGAGAAAAGAATTTCTAAAATTTTCTTTAAGGTAAAACTAAACAATGTTATGTAATAATAGATTAACAGGTGAATTAAAGAATGTAGCTGCATTTTTTCAGTATTTAAGATGAGGATGTATCATATTTGTCTCTGTTTTACCTGAGTGCTGAAAAAGACAGTTGATCAGGTAGAGATAGTTCAATAACAGTAGATGAATGTACTGATAGTTGGATAGGTAGGTATCTAGATAGATCAGTAGATGAGAACTGATCAGATAGCTGGATAGGTAGCTATCTAGGTAGGTCAATCATGGATGAGAACTCTGATAGGTAGGTACTGTATCTAGGTAGGCCTATAGATGAGAACCTGTGATGCTCAGCACACATGCTTAACAGGATATGAATAGTGTTTTATCGGAAAAAGGTACTGTACCTAAATTTGACCCCTCAACTGAAAGCCCCAATGGAGGAAACAGGAGGATAATTTAAGCAACAGGTGATTTTAAGAGGCGATCAAAATTTAAAGAGAAGAGGAACATGTTATAAATAACATTGAACTCATGAGTTCACACACTAGATTTTTCACTTTTTTATTTTTTTTATATTATTGTTTCTGTTTATGAAAAAAATAATTCTGCAATGAAATAATCTAATACCTCAATTTGACATGACTTTATTCAGTATGTTCCATATATTTTTTCCTACTTTCTTTTCTCTTTTTTAGAAGACTCGTAATTGGGCATACCCTAAAGATTGAGAATTTATTGAAAGATGTTAAAGAGGGATGAATGGAAGTGAAAAGACAGAGAAAGAGTAGGATAGGGATAATATTACAATAGGTTGAACACCAAACCATTTAAATCCTTTTAACTCTGCAACGATTTCTGGATGGCAAGGGCCTTTCAGCGGGGAGAAAAAGCACGATTCGTCTGGGAGAAAAAAAAATTGTATGTATTTTCTACATATTAGTAGACTCAAAAATCAATTTAAATAAGCCTTTGAAACCCCTAAATTGTCAAAATTTTCGGGGGATTCACCCCCAGGACCACTTTCGAAGCCTTTTAATTGAAGCTCAACCATGCCCACTTTGCTTTCGTCGGGGAAATCTGACCCCTCGCCAATGAAATTCTGAAAGTGGATGCAGTTTTTTTCCAACATAGAGTAAGAAGTGATTTATTATCAGGACAACACAGTGTTATTTTATCACAAGATCGTAAACACAAATTTTCATTGCATGTCGAATTTATTGACTGACAATTTTGATTTGCTTTTATTGTCAAGACTTATTATAAATTATACATATTAACGATATTAATTAAGGTCGTAAGTGCCCAAATTGGCTATTTTGTTAATGCAACAAGGTCATGTAGTACTTTTAAAATGTTGTTTATGTGTGTCATGATGCAAGAATTATTGAAATCTTCATGAATAACACAAAATTGACATAAATATAGTGCATAGGTCCATATTTAAAAATTAAAAATGTTTTCATATATTTTTTCCCTTCGAAAATGGCAAAAACCAAGATATGACCTTGTTATTCTAATGCAACAAACTTTTTAAAATTTCAATAATTCTTGAACTTCCGAACAGAGTAAGCACGAACAGGGTCGTTCACTGATAAACAGTGAGTGTATGGGAGTGTTTCAGAAAAACAAATGATTAAGTTAAATATTGAAGGTTAGAAAATTAATAGGCATGTATCTATCTGAGATTAGAATGTGAGAATAACTATATTAATGTACTTATACTATATTAATAATAAATAAATAATATGCATAAGCCTGATTAAATCATGTTGATAACGCGGGTGCTTACGCGTTTCAACATCAATTTATAAATAATAATAATAATAATAATAATAATAATAATAATAATAGTAATAATATTTATTTGGCATTCAAGATATCATTTGCCAGGAAAGAGAATAGCTGATAAAACGAGAGCTTATGCAGTTTCAACATCAATTGTGTTTAGTTTATAAATAATAATAATTATAATAATAATAATAATAAATAATCATTTGGCATTCAAGATCATTTGACAGGAAACAGAATAGCCAATTAGCCCAAATAAACTTATAAACTTATTTGCACTCCTTCCTCTTTGCTGACACTGCACAAATACAACATTTAAACATAAACTAAAATTACAATCTAGAGATTGATAAAAATATTCAATAGTCATAATTAAACAATCTGATTATTATACTGAATTAACTGATCGTTTAATAATACTAATTCAAGTAATATTCATGGAAGTTCTACTTATGGTAGCAGTTGTAGTGCGTAATAATACAACAATAACAACTAGATTTACAATGTTCGTCTGTAAAACAGAACATACAGTATAAGTCTTTTTGTTTGACTAATGTTTGAATTTATGAAAGTACTGTTTTACTTAAATCTACAGTTTATGTTGAATGTACTCTCAATATAGAACATTACAAAATAAAAATACAAATAAACAAAATTGATACTACCAAGACTCAAACTTAAGGCTCTACGATATTGATCTTAGTGAATTGCAAAGCTCTAAACATAGAAACCAACTTTGTGAAGGGTTCTGGGTTGTCATTCATGACATACTTGCAAGTGCTGTACACAATAGAATGTTCCAAATCTAAGATGATGTTATTGTTATTATACTAGTATTTGCAAAATTTGGGTCTGTTTTACTTAACAAATTTTCAAAAAATGGTCTGCTCATAATCTTCCTGTTTGGGGTTATAAGTGCCTTGTCTGAAAAATGTAAACAGTGAATATTAGATTGAAAAATGCCATCGAGAATTTTGGAATATAGAATTTTAAAAAATAAAAGTGAAAACCCTCTCAGTATTTTCCTGTAAAATGAGCAACACAACAACTTTTTCGGGCCTAATAAAACAGCTGTACGGAACTTACAGGAAGCAAAGTGATGGGTTTTCAAACATGAAAAGTTTATGCATTTGAATGATTTGTTAAGCCCTCGAATCCTTGCTCATTTAACAGATGCACCCAGTATCAACTGCCGAGAACATCGGAAGTGTTGTAGAACTTTGAGATTGTGTCAATTTAGGTAGCCGATTTCAACAGCAGTATTGGGACAGCTTAGTACAGTTTTGTCATTCAGGAAATACATAATGTACATGTTGTAGGGGCCTGTGGTGGGTTGTTTTGAGCCTACCCAGTTGCCAAATCAAGAGGGCACCATGTCAAAAAAATGCATTGAATTGCCGTTATGATTGTTGGAAATTGCAGTTTCCTTACTACAAGGAGATGCCGTCTACAAAATGCCTAGATTAAGTGTGTATTTAATGTACAGTGTGAGAATTATGCATGTCTTTGGTGATATTCATCATTTCATTTTAACTAAACCATTACAAATTACTAATATTCTGTAGGTTTTATGAGAAGGTTCTGCAATTTTAGCAAGAAGTCAAACATTCAGAGTGTATACTGTATTATGTTACTATTGCTACTTTTGATATTTGGCAAAGACAAGCCAAACCAGTCTCTGTTCGCAAAACCTGATTTTTAGTTATTAATACAGGGTTAAAGATGAAAAAGAGAGCTATAAAATGGTAAAAGAATCATTTAGAACCGACGTTTCGTTATGAAGTTACAAGCGTTTATATATACAGTAGAACCTCATTTTTACGTACCCCAGTTATACGAACCCTTGGTTTTACATACGCCTCGTATCGATGATGACGTCATCAAAAACCC